TGGACGTTGCAGCAAAGTCCAGTTGCAAAGGCCCCTGAGAATGATGCAGTATATGTCTTTGTGTCTGAGACCTGAAGACAAGATCAGCAGCCATGCGGATAGTCTAACTGTTGTCCAGCTATCTGGCACTGTGCATGTGAGATAATAACAACAGGACAGAGATCATCTGTCTGTCATAAGGATTCAGATGCCCACTCGAAAAGCTATGGGCAGCTGCAGTTAAACTATCAGAACTTATAAACTATTAGGAATACTTTCATAATAGTCTCCACTTCTAGTCTGTGTGAAAAGAGCAACTTCCCTGGACAGGACATGTGACTGAGACTTTCTGTCTTCACTTTCTCCTTCTGGGGTTTTAAAAGCCTCTCCCCAAGACAGGAAGTGTAATACACAATACTGTGATATTAGCAGCTAACAGTAGAGGGCAGCAGATCCCTGCACTAGCAATGCCTATGTCTCCAGGGTTGGTTAGGCAGTCCAGAATGAGGGAGGATCAAAGATTTAGCCATTTCCCGACCACCCTATAGCAGAAGTACTGCTACAGAGCAGCAGGGATACGCAAAATCACGTATATACGGGATTTATACGTGTATATGTGTGTCATGCGCTCCCTACCACTATTGGCTCCTTGACACGTCAATCTCCGGGTCCCGGCCACTGATTCTCAGGGATCATCGGTGGATCTGACAGGTGAGAGGTCTATGTGTAAACAACACAGATCTCCTCCTTGTCAGCAGGAACATGCTGCTTTACATTGCTCTGCACAGCAAAGCAATACAAAGCAGCATGTTTACATAGCAAAAACAGCACACAGCAAACAGTTAATCCTTGATTGCCTCACATGTTAACCCCTTCCTGCCCAGTGTCATTAGTACAGTGACAGTGCTTTTTATTAGCACTAATCACTGTATTGGTGTCACTGGGGATGTCAGTGGCAGTTAGTCAGTTCCCACCCAGTGTCAGAATGCCTGGCACAGTCCCGTAGTCCTGTAATAAATCGCTGATCCCTGCCATTACTAGTAAAGAACAAAAACAATTTTTAGTATATAATTTGTAGACGCTATAACTTGCACGTAAACCAATTCATTTACACGTATTGGAATTTTTTTTTAGCAAAGACATGGAGCAGAATACATTTTGGCTTAAATTTATGAAGAAATTAAATTTTACATTTTTGTTCTAATGGGTATGTTTTATAGTAAAAAGTCAAAAAGATGTTTTTAAAAACAAATGTCGCTCTTTTTTTGTTTATAGCACACAAAAAAAAAAAAATGCAGAGGTGATCAAATACCAACAAAAGAAAGCTCTATTTGTGGAAAAAAGTGAGATAAAATTTAATTTATGTACAGCATTGCATGACCGCGCAATTGTCAGCGCTCTATTGCAAAATATGGCCTGATCAGGAAGAGGGGTAAATCCTCCGGAGGGCAAGTGGTTAAGACACAACAGGGCCCTAGGCAGGGTAGCAGCTTTACCTACCATCACTTCAATTGGCTTTGATAAGGACTGCAATAGCCACACCATTTAAATTGTATTGGCATGGCCTGTCCCATCAATAATCAGCTGCCTACAAGTGCATCCCCCATATAAAGGGACAGGTAGATGCAGCTTTCCTGCGTTTTCCTGTTTGCATTTTTTAGCGATTTTTATAAAAAAAATATTTTTTTTTGATCAAAAAAGTCCAAAAAAACTGGTTTGCGGCATTTTACCATGTTTTGCAGCGTTTAGAGCATTTTTACACCTAAAAAACTCCTCTAGAAACCCACTAATCCTGGGTTTATTTTCCAGCCAAAAAACGTTGATCACAGTCTATGTGTGCATGGACACATAGGATAACATGCTGGGGGGTTTACTGGCTGTAGAAAAAAATGTCAAAAGCCAAAAACAGCCGCTGTAAAACGTCCAGTGTGCAAGAGGACTTATGCAGGCCATAGATGGGTCAAAAACCATTTTTTTTTTTTAAAAAAAATAAAAAATCAGTCATTCAATAGGCCGACGTTATCACCAACGGTAAAAAAAATCGGCCGATTTTTGTCCCATCCACGGCCAGCATTTAATTACTTCTATCCCTGCAGAGAGCTCCGCTATTATATTTGACATAAAAAAATATTGTGATTGCAACAATGTATCTATTTGTATCCATTTCGGATACAGATGTTTTTATTCGGATAATTGTTGCAACCGCAATATTTTTTTCATGTCAAATATAATAGCAGACTGGTATTATTATTCTTTTTCTTCTTCTACTTTTTTTCTTCTTGCAGGTTCATGCGCAGATTTTGTATCGGTAAAAAGATCGGCCGATTTGCCCATCATTGCCGGGTAAATTGACCGATCGGCAAAATCAGATGATTTTTTTCCAACTTCACTGATGAAAAAAATGTGCCAGAATCCTGAAAAACGGCCGACCAATTAACCCACCAACGGTGCGAAAAAAATTATAAAAACAAAAAAAAAAAAAAAAATTTTTTTTTGGCCGAAAAAATCGGCCGATTTTCAACCCATCTATGGCCTGCATTAATTTGGGCTGAACTGCCCACCTCCTTCCCCTAGGCGCCTCTCTAGGTTGCCTTGTTGCTGATCTGGTTTTGCTATCCCAAATATCTACCCACATATCTACTATTTCAAACACTTTCTTGTCCTATTCCATGTTCCACTGCCTTAGGTTGGGTTCACATCTGTGCGGGTGGTGCGGCTGCGGATCCACATGAAAATCCATGCAGCAGCACCACCCGCACAGAGGAATGCGGACCCACGGGCTGGTGCCATTGCTTCTAATGGCACTCCGCCCGCACTGGAAAATGTAACCGTACTGAGAACTGAGATTCTCATGCGGGCTGCGTTTTCAGAAGAAGTGCAGGGACTTCTCCCCTGCATGTCACGGGGCACGGGAGTCCATTCAAATGAGTGGGCTCTCATGCCCATTCAAAATGTGGCACGCACAGCCGCATATATGTGAACCAGGGGTCATTGTTGTTCCTTTGCTAACAAATCTGTAGACTTCCATGTCCAGGAGTAAATAAAAAAAAAATCTGCCCTGTGTGGCTAACGTAATGCTTCCTTTACAGTAGTAACTCTATATTTGTTATTAATTAGAAAATAAAACCCAAAGCGGCCATTACACTTACTGGCTGCAAGTGCCCATCAGTTTATGCTAAAATGGAAATAAAACCATCAGTTACTTTAAATACAGATTTTTTTTTTTTACTGACCTCCTGGCTGAGATTATTTTTTAGAACATGTAGATTAGTCATGCTGTGTTACAATATACTTACAAGAAAGAGCTATTGAAAGGCACAGCAGGACGTTGTTCAGCAGCTCAGAGGAATAATACTTCCCCTCCAATAATAATACAAAATAATATCCCAGGACTAACCTGCTCATATAAGCAAGATGTACTTTATAGTTCTCCTTTTCCTCTAATTTCATGAAGAACAGCAGGACAAACATCAGGTTGGAGATTTATAGGTACTGTGCTCGTTCTTGCCAACTCACCAAAACAAAGAAAAATGCAATCTACTGGAAATACAAAGCACATGGTTCAGCTAGAAAAAAATCTTCACTTTGCAATTAAACCTAGTTGGAAATATGCAGAGTTTTCCTACAGGCTATTTTTTAATGAATGTACAATCTATATATACAGCATGGGATTCCCGGCACTTTAAGGACTTCAGCAAAGGAGAATATACACACCGGCCACTTTTATTAGGTACGCCTGTTCAATTGCTTGGTAACACAAATTGCTAATCAGCCACTTGCATGGCAGCAACTCAATGTATTTGGACATGTAGATGTGGTGAAGACGACTTGCTGAAGTTCAAACAGAGCATCAGAATGGGGGAGAAAGGGAATTTAAATCGGAGCTCCACCCAAAAGGGGAAGGTCCACTTTAAGCCTTTGTCCCCCACTCCCCATTAAGGATTGGCATCTATGGGGAGGGGGTACCCAAATTTGGCAGGTATCCGCTCTACTGCGATTGCCTAAGCGATCGGAAGTGGAAGTTGTCCTCCCCCCTCCCTCCCTGTAGTCTTCTGGGACACGTGACAGCTCCCAGAAGACTATGGGACCATTCACAAAGCGCAGTGCTTCTCGCACATGCGCAGTTGGCACCTGGCTGTGAAGTCACAAGCTGTCACAGCCGGGTGCCCACACCAAAGATGCTGGAGCCAGGGAGAGAAGATGACCGGTGAAGCCAGCGGTGGTGAGGAAACTGCTAGACCAAGGGACAGGTAATTGTCTGTATTTTAAGAGTCAGCAGCTACAGTTTGTGCAGCTGCTGACTTTTTTTTCCAGGTGGAAATCCACTTTAAGGCCCCATGTACACGGGACACTCCTGAACAATGGAAACTGACTGCTGGAAAACGTAGGTTAAAAAACATCTGTTTAGCTGCGTTTGCATAAAGCATTTAACGGGTTTATGCGTGTTTATGTGCGTTTGCATTTAGAAGCGTTTTTTAAAGATAAACACAGGAGAACCTCCCAAATGCCCACAATGCACTGAAAAGTGGTAAATTATTAACTATTTCAGACTGTTTCAGAGAAATACAGAGAGTAGAAGCAGAGAAAGCAGTATGTGTTGACATTAGCTAGGTGTGAGTTGCTCATTAACATTTCTTTTGTTTCCAAGGGTGGGAAAAGTGTCTGGTGGAGTGAGTCATTAAGGCCACCTGGCAGAGGGTCTTCTTGAGGAATTTGACCTGTGAATGGTCCTTAACATATCTTTTGTTTCCAAGGGTGGGAAAGGTGTCTGGTGGAGAGAGAGTCATTAAGGTTTCCTGGCAGGGGGTCAGCATGAGGAATTGGAGGTGTGAATGGTCATTAACATATCTTTTGTTTCCAAGGGTGTGAAAGGTGTCTGGTGGAGAGAGTCATTAAGGCCACCTGGCAGGGGGTCTTCTTGAGGAATTTGAGGGTGAATGGTCATTAACATATCTTTTGTTTACAAGGGTGGGAAAGGTGTCTGGTGGAGAGAGTCATTAAGGCCACCTGGCAGGGGGTCTTCATGAGGAATTGGAGGTGTGACTGGTCATTAACATATCTTTTGTTTCCAAGGGTGGGAGAGGTCTGAGGTGTGAATCGGTCATTGCAATGTGTGGCAAGCTTGGTAGGAATATCCTGTATGCAGTGTTTTGTCCATCTGAGCACCTTGAAAATGCTTTGCATGCATTATTCATGATGAAAAAGGCTCTGGAGAGAATTGGGAACTGGAAGAGTTAAAACAAATTTTCAAACACAAATGCTTATAAATGCGGTTTGCCGCGTTTAGCCGCATTTACAAGCATTTTGCATTTGAAACGATGATAAAATTGACCACTGAATGCAAGTTTAGTGCGTTCAAAAAAAACGACTGTAAACTCAAATGCCTGTAAACGAAGATGTGTACATGGACATATAGGAAAACATTAGGGAGAGTTCAGGGGCTGCTGAAAAAAATGCTGAACAGCTCTTAAACATGAGTTTATCAGCTGTAGTGTACATGAGCCCTAAGTGACTTTGAACATGGCATGGTTGATAGTGCCAGACAGGCTGGTCTGGGTATTTCAAAAACTGCTGATCTACTGGGATTTTCAGGCAGAACCATCTCTAGGGTTTACAGAGAATGGTCCAAAAAAAGAGAAAATATCCAGTGAGCGGCAGTTGTGTGGACGAAAATGCCTTGTTGATGTCAGAGGTCAGAGGAGAATGGGCAGACTGATTGCTGCGACATTCAGATGGTGGAGTCAGAATGTGGCATAAACAACATGAAAGCATGGATCCATCCTGCCTCGTATCAATGGTTCCAGCTGATGGTGGTGGTATAATGGTGTGGAGGATATTTTCTTGGCACTAGCAAGGTGAACCTAATAAAGTGGCCGGTGTGTGTAAAATGTTTATTCCATATGGATGCTTCACTTAGGCACAGCCCACCTTTTTCAAGGTAACATCAGTATAACAGTGCAGGTATATGTAGCACCCTCCTAGATAGGTGCTAGGATTTGGTCATTTTTGTTCTGGCTCACTATATCCAGGGGCTGCATTCTGTTGTTAGGTGGAGTTTAGTTTTGGCTCACTGTAATCAATGTGGCTGTTAGTGATTGTTGAGGTCTATTCTGTGTTTCACAGGCTGCAGGTTTGATTACTACTCTTGCAATCTAGAACTCTCTCAGGATTCTAGAACATAGGCATGAAGCAAAGGCAATTAGCCAGCATAAATATTTATACTGTCTCAGCCAATCCCTGTGGTAGAGTGCACAGATGTTTGCTGGGAAAATGTATAAAACATTTGAGACCAGAACTGTCTTGTCCCTGAGGAGACCCTGAGAGTTATGCCCCCTAGACCCACCTACTATGTGTTTGCTGCTCATCGCAGTCCCAGCTGGAAGATGCTAGAGTTGAATGAGGGGACCTCTCCTCTGTGGATCTAGTGTGGTATTAGAAGAAGAAAGCATCTGGAAAGCAATGGAAGGAGGCTGCCAATTGTCTGAAGATATTTGTGAGTACAGACCGGGGCGGACCATTTAGAAACTCGGGCACTGCCTGAGGGCCCAGGGTCAGTAGGGGGCCCCATGAGATGCCCCTGGTACCTTTTTCATAGGCTTTTTTGAGTTTGGGCAAGGACATAGGGGCCCCATGATCCCCTATTGCCCGGGGGCCCCATGAGTTGTCAGTCCACCCCTGGTACAGTCAGTCCACCCCTGGTGTTAGACAGTCAGCTGTGTGTAAAGGGGACATGGTGTCTAATGTCCTGACGAGCTTAGTGAAAGGACTTTGCTTGGACTGTCCAGAGAGGGGAGGTTGATCTCCTTGAGTCGCTGCTACAATACTTAGTCCATCCCTTTACTTGTGTGAGGACTTGGCATAGTTCTGGAGTATCCCACTCAATTCCCTAACCCCTTTCAAGTTACCCAAAAATAAAATAATCAAAAAAAATACCCCTGGACTGTTTGTTAAGCCAAAGAGTTGTTGTGACTGTGTGCCTGGCCGCGGGGCAACTATTGGGAAAAGAACTCTTAGGACATTATTCTAGGAGCTCCTATGGGGGTAGCACTACATGTATATAACCCAAAAAACCCACCCACCCTACAGACCCTAACCCTGTGATAGCAATGCCACTGTGTAAACATAACATTGATATACCTACCCATATACCCAGTGGTGTATTTAGGTTTTGTGCTGCCCTAGGCAACACAAAAATCGGTGCCCCCTTCAGAGAGAGCCTGACATTGACCAACAACACCCCTGCCTCCCACTCGAGAGAGCCTTCCACTACAACTGCCCCCCATACACCAGCCACCATCCCCCATGGTGAGAGAGAGAGACACTCACCTTAACAGCTCCAGACATCCCTGGGAACGAGAGTCGGGCTGTGCATACACCATCATGAAACTCGCAGCCTCTCTTGGAACCCACCAGGTGCCCTTGCCATGTGTGTCCCCTCTTCTGAGAGGCAGTGCTGCCCCCCTGAAAAATGCTGCCCTAGGCAAATGCCTTGTTTGCCTTGTGGTAAATACACCCCTGCATATACACATATTGAGGTCCTGAAACAGGGCTAAGCAAGCCTTAGTCCTTAGTAATCAATGAAAACCATCTTAACAGCATTGTTAAAGTAAATCCATGGTCAAAATGCAAATTGATATAATAATTGTATTTTATTTATTTCTTGCCTACTTCTATGATCCACTTGCCCTCCAGAGGATTTACCCCCCTTCCTGTCATTTTTCGCGCTGCAGCCAAATCAAATTTACGTCCTTTTTTCCCACAAATTGAGCTTTCTTTCGGTGGTATTTGATCGCCTGTGCTTTTTTTTATTTTTTGCACTATATAAAAAAAAAAGCCCGACAATTTTGAAAAAAAACATATTTTTGACTTTTTGCTGTTAAACATGATCTGTAAAAAAAAAATTTAAAAATCCAATTTCTTCATAAATTTAGGCCAAAATGTATTCTGCTACATGCTAAAAAAAAATCCCAATAATATATTATATAAATTAATTGGTTTACATGAAAGTTATAGCATTTACAAATGGCGGTATAGATACTGGGATTTTTTTTTCCATTTTTACTAGTAATGGCGGTGATCAGCGACTTATAGTGGGACTGCGGCAGACATTCTGACACTGGGGGGGAACTGACTTGGTATCACTGACATCTCCAGTGACACCAATACAGTGATCAGTGCTAAAAAAAAGCACTGACACTGTACTAATGGCACTGGGCAGGAGGGGGTTAACGTGAGGGGAGATCAAAGGGTTAACTGTGTGCTAAGAGTGTTTTACTAGGGGGCGGGATGTGTGTGATTCACTGTAATCACACTGCTGTGGATGGCTGTGCTGTGTCCAAGCTGACAAGGAGGAGGACTGTTAGTAAACAAAACAGTCCACCTCCCCGTTAGAGATCCTCGGAAATCACTGGGCGCCGGCTAGTAATTACTGGCCGGGGCCCAGTGATTGAAGGAAAAGGAAAACATGGCACCTGCCCCGGTCTATGACTGGCTATAATGCAAGGATTACTTGAACCGGGCGACACATGTCAGTAAAGGAAAAAATTTAAAAAATGTTCATAAATCAACTCGCGAGCCAGCTTGCCAACAACCAAATTGACCTGTCTAACAGTATGCGTTAAAAGCAGTGATTGACAGCCGTGGACGCAAATGGCGGTGTGGGTCAGGTGCACTCGCGGCTTGCGCGTGCCCCCTACCCAGAAATGCAAAATTACTTATATATACGTGATTTTGCGCACCGCTGCCGCCTATAGCAGTGTTTCTGCTATAGAGCGGTCGGCAAGCGGTTAATCCGAATGATCTTGATGTTTGTAAACTCACTTTGTGACAATCCCCACACATTTACTTCCTTGAATGCAATGACACGTATTCACTATGTGAGCAGGCACTGCTGTGTCACACATTTCACAGAGCCTACTTTCTGAACTACAGAGGTGCTGAAAGATGGAGTTTCAGGAGGCGGAGTCAGTACAGGAATCACTGCCTGCAGGCAGCAAGGTATCATGGGATATGTAGTCCTTAGAAATTGAAAAAAAAACAGCAGAGGAAAAGTTACAAAACAGCAGACAGGCAGTAATCACAATATCAAAGGAACATTTTTCAAGTAAGATTATATTGCATTGTGAAAATACCTGTTGTTTTGTATTGATACTATGGTGATAATGTTCTAAAATAAAAGTGTATTCTGTGACCATAGATTTCCTTTAAGATAATGCAAGCCGCAGTTGAAGAGAGAGGAAGGTGAGTCCAATGACATCACTGCTATCCGGCAACCAGGTAAACTCTGGATGACAGGCAGGGTGAGGCAGCATTAAGAGGATGATCAACCAACACATATAAACAACAAACACGTAAGGAAAACAGCAACAGGCTCACTGCCACATGGAGAGCCACTAACATGAATAGATTTATAAGCTAAGACTGGAAACGCTGTGTAGGTGACAGAACAGAAGGAAAAAGCTAACAGTAGAAACCACAAAAGGAAACAATGCACTCATACCTGGGAATAAACTAGGGTTGCCACCTCATCCCTTTAACCCAGAACAGATATTAATTACACAGGTTCTGAGGCTAATTTAATTCAGATAAGGCACTACGTGAGTTTACTTACCACTGTAATCAGCCACAGAACCTGTGTAATTAACGTGTTAAAGGGATAAGGCGGCAACCCTAGAACAAACAAGTAACAAAAAAAATACAATGTTGGTATCAACCAAATAAAAAATGGTAAATGAACAAAAAAAAACAACAAAATAAACATGAGAATAATGACTTAGGACAAAAAAGTAAAGTAAGTGGAAAACACCACAGCCACCAGGGCAGTACGAATGTTTAAGATGATATTGGGGATGGAAGTCGGAACAGATGGAGCCTCAAAAAGAGAATATATACCTCTAAAAGAGCCATTACCCTCTGAGCATCATCTGCTACTTGTAAGTGTGTAATGGTGGTGTCATTACAAGAATGAAGCAAAGGAGAGTTGTTTGTTAAGTCTTTTTAATTGATAAAATCTGCAATGTGTAAATCCACCAACATTCAATCTGAAGCAAAACACAATGATGGTTACCACACTCCTTCAGAAGGGAGGTCTGCTCAATAAGCATGCATATTTGCTAGGGACAAGGAGGCATAAAATGGGGGGGGGGGGGGGGGGCACTGGTTGGTCAAATGTACCTGACACCAGCACTTTGCATAACACAGTCTTGTGATCACACAATTCACTTTTCCAATATAATAAAGAGCACATGGGCAGTGGAGTAAGTAGATACCAATTTCTGTATTACAGGAAAGGTGGGGACATATGGGTATGGTCTTGTCTGTTAGAAGGTGAAATAAAAGAGACATTGGTAAAGAAC